ACTCGGACTTAACCTTTTATGTTTTAGAAGTGATTTTACTTATACAATTTAACCCGTGAAATAGGTAGTAGGATACTACGCACTATTAATGCACTAATTTCATCGTTTTATTTTGTTCACTTGTAGCTATTTTGCACTAGTTGTTGGTCTCTGTTTAACGGGTCAAGTGAAGTCACTCTAAGAGGGGCTTAGCTATCTAAAAGTCTCTCTCTTTCTGGACAATCAGCAGTTTGTACCGCTGAATATCAATGCTAGATGGCTTTTTATTCTGAATAAGCGAACTTTGCTGAAACGTATACCAGTTATTTCAATAAATACTTGACATTAAATATGCGTCATTCACCGCGATAATTACATCTTAATGTATCCATAGCCAAAAACAAAACTTGAAATAGCATTTCCGAGAACTGTTGCATCAAAAGATTTCTAGGGGTGTATACCTCCAACACTAGAGGCAAAATCTCCCTCTGTGTGTGCCCTGTATACAAGCTTAACGCCCCTGTTTGATATACCCGTATTATACCATTAAATTGATAGATTTAAATAATCTCTCTTTTGAAAACTTGGAATAAATACCTCTTATTAGCCGAGTCTTCGATTCGTACTTTAAATTACTGACCAAGTTTCTTTCCATCGATTTTTGGCCCTAAGCTTGAAAATCGATGGAAAATTAAATTAGAAAAAAAAACTCGGTCCGTAATTTAAAGTGCGGACCGAAAAAACGAGGCTAATAAGATGTCTATTATATAGCTTCCTGTTTGGGAGAGCGGAAACAAGTGCAGGACAAGCGATTTGACATTCATTGAACAGGCGTCAGAAAAAGAAAGTTTTAATTGGCTCATGGAAAAAATAGCACATTATAAAAAGGCTTTCCATTGAAAGTAAATTTAAATCAAAATGCAAATGTGCCATCCTACTCCTCAGGCGCTTCGTTTTTCGCAAGGTAGAGGCTAGGCGAGCGACTGGTGATGAACCGCAAGGGACCATGGGAAGGGTACTAAAGGCAGGCGAAGCGACGTCTCGCCCGTTGTCTCTTTCGCGCCTTCCTTTGAGCGCACATTTTCATCGAGAGAGAGACGTCTGGGTACGAGGTAGCAAATGCGACATATTGAAATAGTTTATTCGGTCAAAACTAAGAGCACTGTAAGTATTCGCTGGCCGACGTGACGCTGGAGTCCTTTGAAAACTGGACATTGTGTCTGGCTCGAAGTCGCTTCCATCTTTCTTTCGTTGGTCTCTGGAAGCGTCTTCTTAATTCGATAAGATTCCGATTCGGTTTCTTCGTCGCCGGCTTCGTTCACAAATAAACACAGATTAAAATCTTGGAGGATCCAAGTCCTCATGCTTGACAGACGTTTCATAACCTTCTTCAAACCTTTTTTTTCGAGATGAAGAGATTTAGAGCTGCGAAATGAGCATTTGCTTTTGAAATTTTGGTCCGTATAGGAACGTAACGACCGCTAATTGACCTATCGCACGGCGAAAACAGACTTAGCCATATAATAATGATTATTATTAACCAATAAGAAACAATTGAAGACCAGCCTTCTAGTTTCATTTTTTGACTCTAATCTTATGCCTTAGCTATTGTTAAACCTTAATTAAAATACGGCGGAATCGTTGTATTCATTTACAAGGTACAAGGAATTTCCCCGAGCTGTCTTTCTAGCCAGCGACATGCACACAGCTCCAATCTTTGTTTAGCAACGTCTTCATATTCTTTCCATTGTTTTTCTCGGGCAATTCTGAGGGCCTCCGTTGATGGTTCAATTCCTGATGGAGAGCGAAAAGTTTGATTCAGTGTAATATAATTATACCTCAAATAAGGGGTTAATGTAATTTTTAGCGACATTCTTTGCACTTATTTCAATTTTGGTACAGTTTTAATGGCTTTGTTTGTTTGTTTGTTTTTTTAAATTATTTAGGGGTTGTTTTATTCGACCGGCAGGACTGTTATATAAACTACTGAGGTTGGTGTCGACCAGTAAAAGTGCTAAGGAAAGTTGCGTTATATTTTTATGTTATTAATGAGATCGTGCAGAAATTAACCAATGGTTTCATATAATCAGAGTTTTTTCTTGCGAAAATGACTGTCGACTGTGAATCGAATCTGTAAATTAAGTACCTTGATCAAAGTTCTTTGTCCTTATGAAGAAATCAGTCTTGACGATGTCAAAGCTTAGAAGTGCTTTCTTTAGATAACATGACAAAAGTCCCTCTTCAATTTCCGTAATCAAATGAGATGCTTTGGCCACTTGTTCCTCAGGCACCGATTGCTGGAAATCAAGATTTTTCACATGTCTCGAAGACTTGACATAGAAAGCGAGCCGTCTGTTTTTAGCTCTTATTTGAAAACGATTAGTTATGGGGCGGCTTTCAGCGTCTAAATGGCGTTCGATATCCTGGAAGCAGTTCTCTGCAATGGTCTCCTCATTTTCAGAGATTCCAACTCTAGCGGATTTCTCCACATAAAACGAGGCCAAGAAATATCTGTTTTCTGCTGTTTCTTC